GGTGCTGCAATACGGCAGGCGTTCAGCAAACACATGTCTGCATCTCTGCATCCCTGACCCTGAGCGCGGTGCTGCAATGTGGCAGGTGTTCAGTAAACACATGTCGAGTTCATCAAACGTCTGTTGTCGACCGTGGCCCCACAGTCTGCTGGCTGAGTGATCTTCAGAAGCCACTTTAACTCACTGAGTCTGTGTGTGTGTTTTAATCTGTGAAATGCAGTTAATAGTACCTACTCTGTCCACTTCATGTGGGCTATGAGGATAAAAGTAAAGACCACTGGTAAAGAGTTCTGTAAATGGTAAAGTAACACACCAATGTAAGGCATTCTAAAATCAACAAAATCAGTATTAACACCGATCAAGTAAGGCATTAATGGAGGCTTGCTGTTGTTAGGTGCCGTCAAGGCGATGCAGACTCATAGCGACCTTAAAGGACAGAGTAGAACTGCCCCATAGGGTTTCCTAGGCTGCACTCTTTATGGGAGCAGATCTCCGGGTCTTTTCCCCCAAGGAGCTGCTGGGCGGGTTTGAACCATGGCCCTTTTGGTTAGCATCCCAGTGTTTAACCATTGCGCCAGCAGGGCTCCTTAATGGCGGCTTATCACCGGGTTATTTTCCAAGGGCCCCCAGTGGCTCTTCCAAAGTGGCCCTCGGATATCCCAATGGTGGCCTCATGGCACACCCCAGAGCCGCGTGCCCGTTCATGCCTCACAGAGCACATCCAGGCACCTCTGTTGCGGACGGTGGCCTTGGGCCAGCTCCAAGACAGCTCCAAGCCCGACCACTAGATGCTAGCCAGGCCTTCCGTTTGGATTCTCAGCACAGCCACTGCACCGTTGCCAGAGGAGCAGCGCTGCCTCTAATGACTGTGCCATTTTACCCAGTACCAGGAGGATCCGTGCAGAGTCCACTGCCCACTTTCATTTGCACCACCCCACCCCCATCCCACCAGCAACTTCCACCTCCATCATCCCATTCTTCCTGCTACCACAGAAGCAAGACACCAGGCTTGCCTTCATAAACACATCAGTGAGCTCCGAGAGTAATGGAAAATATCCCCGGGGAGCTGGAAAAGGGGCAGCTATGGTATGCCTCCTGCTGAGGTTCTCTCTGACGAGGGGCCTTTGGGCTGACGGAGAGCTTCTGTTTGCAAACCGTGGTGGAACACTAATGTTATTCAGCCTGCTCGCTGCTAGCTTGCTTGTGCCCTGGGAAGCCATGAGGGGCAGCAGTTACGATACAGCATCCGCCAGAGGAATGTCATCTTGATGGTGCTGTTACAGACCTCTGAATGCAGGTGGCCCACTGTAGCACGTGTAAACCTGACGTAGTGGTCTCCGGCACAATGACAGTTTACCACGAGAATGTCACCACGTAAACACGTTACAAACAGGAAAATAAAAGGATAAAGCCAGCCGTGTTTTAGCAAGATGCGTGGCTGATTCCAAACAGACTGAGGGTCCTCATTTACAATTCCTAAATACTCCTGCTGAACTAAATCAAAAAGTCCCTAACCTCACCTAAGCTAAGCTAACCTAACCTGTTGCTGTTGAGTTGATTTCAATTCCTATTGACTCCACGTGCAGAGCAGAACTGCTCTATAAGGTTTTCTTGGCTGTCATCTGTACAGAAGCAGATCACCATGCCTTTCTTCCGTGGCACCACTGGGTGGGTTTGAACCACCAACCTTTGGTTAGTAGTCAGTTGCAAACTGTTTGCACCACACAGAGACCTTCAAAGTGCCGCAGCTATACCAAACGACCCCGTTACTCTTGGAGGAAGGAGAAGACAGGCACTCTCTCTAGGGGACTGATGGGTCTGTCCTCCCCCTGGTTCAAGGCCTCACCTCAGGGGCAACAAAGTTGGCTGTGTAGCAGGGCGTCATCAGCAGCCCGTTCTCGGCTCGCAGTTGCTTGGCAAATCCGAAGTCACAGATTCTGATGGACTCGGGGTTTCCAGATTCATCCATGTACAGGATGTTACTCGGCTTCAGGTCTCGGTGCACCACCTGGAAGGGCAGAGCCATCACACTAACTGGGGGGCAGAGGACAGAGGAGCAGGAGGACAGAGGACACCTTCAGAAGGCAAGGGCTGGTGCAGGATTGCTAATTCTGAGCCGGGGCTTCAGCAGGAAGCCAATCTGCTAATGGCACAGGACACTGGATTCTCTCGAGGGGTTCCTCCCTCTCTCTCTTCCCCTCACAGTGGTGCTCAAACCCAAGAGCCCAGTATAAACTCTTGTGCTGTGGATGAATATTTGAGCTAATAAAGCAAGAAGCCCCCATCCAGGATGAGGCACAGCTCACTGGAGCGCCTGCGCTGAAGAAAAGGACGTGGAGAGTTCACGAGAGAGAAGCTGGGCTCCAGAGGTCCGGACGGCCAGGACGTGGGTGTTTTAGGCTTTAGTTCCGTCACCTTCCTTTATTAAATATAAGCAAATCTTCCAAAACCATCATGCGAAGGGCTTCCCCTAGGGTCTCTCTGCTCTGGGAGAATCTGAAAATGCTTCGTCCCCCCAGCCCACCGGGGGATGACCCAGAGAGGACCCGTGTGGTCCTGGAAGAGCGTTGTCCTGCTCAGAGATGACTGCAGAGCAGACTGCTCCGTGAGAAACGCTGAGACAGAGAGCAGGAGAGGGGCAGAGATGCGAGCTGGGGGGGCGGGTCTGCAGCTGAGAGCGGGGGCTCTGGAACCCACTGCCTGGCCGGGTGCCTGGATCTCCTCTCACTACTGGTGCGTCTTTGGACGAGACCCTTAACCTTTCTGTGCTTTAGTCTGCACAGCTGTAAAATGGGTAAATGCAGAGTGAGGATCAGATACACGAGGAGCTTAGAATAGCCCCTGGAAGAGGTGAGGGTTCTCCAAGTCTCGGCTCCCCGTCATTTTTAGCTACCATGTTGCTTTGCATCAGTTACCGAATGAAATTCCAAATCTGACGAGCAACGAAAATTCTACATTTCCCTTCACTGAGCCTGAAGTATTTCTTGCTGCAGACCGGTCCTGCTAAATCTGACTTCTTACCTACATCCTGCACAACCCGTGTGTGCAAGTGACTGTACACCCTCCCAAGGGCACACGGACAGGCTGGACAGGCTGTGATTGGAAGGAACCCACCGACAACCTCAGCTCCCGGCTCACGGACCGTAACCCTCCAACGACTCCGGTTCCCGACTGGGGGGTGCAGCGTACCCCCTGGGAGTGCAGGTAGTCCATGGTCTTGGTGATGGTGCACAGCACGTCGCTGGCCTCGCGCTCCGAGAAGCACCGCTGCCGCAGGATACGATCCAGGAGCTCACCGCCGCGCATCAGCTCCATCACCAGGTACACGTATTTCCCGTCGTCATAGACCTGCAGGGGGCAGGCAGGGGGCTCAGACGCACGCCCGTCCTCACACGGCCCCCCACTCAGGAGCTGGCTCCCTGACGTCATAGACCTGCAGGGGGCGGGCACACGGCTCAGACACACGCACATCCCCACCCAGGGTCGGCTCCCTGACGTCATAGACCTGCAGGGGGCGGGCACACGGCTCAGACACACGCACATCCCCACCCAGGGTCGGCTCCCTGACGTCACAGACCTGCAGGGGGCGG